GCTATTCCCCATTTCATAAATGCGACCCTCTAAAAAATCAGCCAGTTGTTTTCCAGGGGAATTTTTTATACATATCATTGTATTCATCAGATTCTGCTCTATCAGAATCTATTTAAATATCTTTATTAATAATCAATTTAGCAGAGGAAAATCAAAAAGTTGTCTTGTTTCAAAAATACAAGTTTTAGTATTCTACCTCTAACTCCTGCCAACTTAATCCGAGGATTTTGTTTTTTTGCCAGAAAATAGGTCGTTCCGGGCGACATGCCCGGCCTACCCTCCATAGAAGCACAAAAACAGTTTTTTCAGCGAAGATTCTATTGGTCATAATTTTGTGCATACCTACGAATCAAGCGGGTTTCGGTATCATTCGATAAGGTTTTGAGGTTTTTTTAAAAAGATTGAGGGTTTTTGCGCAAGAGGCCGTTTTAAGGGTGGGTCGTTTTGAGGTAGACCATTTTAAGGATATTTGTTCATTGGGCCATTTTGAGGGTTTTTGTTCAATGGGCCATTTTGAGGGTGGGCCGTTTTAAGGGCGCGCCGTTTTCAGTTTTACCACAAATTACCTGGAATAACAAAATCTTTACGAATTTGCTGTAAAAGATTAACTCCAAAGAATTGAAGAAAATCAGGAAGAATAAGAAAGGGAAAAACATTAAAAGTATTTTCAATCCCCAAATATTCAAAAATAGCAAAAGAGCCAGCATTTTCATGAAAATCGGCAATTCCAAAAGAATAATTTTGTTGACCAAGATAATTAAGATTTACATCATTTATTAAATCTTAAAATTAAAATCATTAATATTCATGCCGCATTAAAGAAAAATAGGTATGCACAACAAGACTGCCCGAGATCGGACCCGTGGTTTTTTGCAATTGCGGTGGGATCATACTAGCCTGATCTACTTTGTCTGAATTCTAACTTTGTTATAATTAATGTCATAATTCACCTCCTCGCCTAAATTATAACTTTGTTATTGTTGTGTTCACCGACATTGTAAATCTCAGACAAGCCCTCGGACAAAGGAGGGCCGCCCCCTCTTTTCCTCCCTCGGACAAAGGAGGGCTACCCTTTCCTTTATGACTCCCTCGGACAAAGGAGGGCCTACCCCTTCCTCTATGATTCCCTTGGACAGAGGAGGGCCTACCCCTTCCTTTATGACACCCTTGGACAAAGGACATCATGCCACACTAGCAAAGTAAACAAAAAGATCTGAGAAAATTTAAGAAGAGTAAGTAAAACTAGAGTAAGTACTCGACTCGACCGCTCGGGTTTTTTGCGTAATTACTCGACTCGGAACTCGGGATCATAATACGCATTACTGTCAACAAATGCCCAATACCCATCACTGATAATGAGTAAAAGTATTGTTTTTGGTAAAATTATTTTAGAATACTGTTTTATAAAAATTACTCGAACGCGGCCTAGAAATTGAGCTCGAGCTCGAACTCGGGTTTTTCAAACTCGGATTACTCGAGCTCGGTTTTTTTCCAATTACTCGGTACTCGACTTACTCTAAGTAAAACTATGAAGATTATCAATCTCACCTTCAAAAATCCCAGCAACATACTTTATTGAACCTTTAAAATCGAGATAAGATTTTTTAGTAACTTCTTCCTTATGCAGATGTTTTCTGTTTGTATTCAATTGAATAATTTGTAAATCGTTTGGCATCGGGAAGAGTAAGTAAAACTTACTCTAGTTTTACTTACTCTTCTTAAATTTTCTCAGATCTTTTTGTTTACTTTGCTAGTGTGGCATGATGTCCTTTGTCCAAGGGTGTCATAAAGGAAGGGGTAGGGGCTAATTATTTATGTTACACCCTAATAAAAGGGACATTAAAAAATTTACAATCATTAATTTAATGGCACTCTATTATTGAGGGCAGTCCAATATATATAAGATTATATTACCTGGAATAACAAAATCTTTACGAATTTGCTGTAAAAGATTAACTCCAAAGAATTGAAGAAAATCAGGAAGAATAAGAAAGGGAAAAACATTAAAAGTATTTTCAATCCCCAAATATTCAAAAATAGCAAAAGAGCCAGCATTTTCATGAAAATCGGCAATTCCAAAAGAATAATTTTGTTGACCAAGATAATTAAGATTTACATCATTTATTAAATCTTAAAATTAAAATCATTAATATTCATGCCGCATTAAAGAAAAATAGGTATGCACAACAAGACTGCCCGAGATCGGACCCGTGGTTTTTTGCAATTGCGGTGGGATCATACTAGCCTGATCTACTTTGTCTGAATTCTAACTTTGTTATAATTAATGTCATAATTCACCTCCTCGCCTAAATTATAACTTTGTTATTGTTGTGTTCACCGACATTGTAAATCTCAGACAAGCCCTCGGACAAAGGAGGGCCGCCCCCTCTTTTCCTCCCTCGGACAAAGGAGGGCTACCCTTTCCTTTATGACTCCCTCGGACAAAGGAGGGCCTACCCCTTCCTCTATGATTCCCTTGGACAGAGGAGGGCCTACCCCTTCCTTTATGACACCCTTGGACAAAGGACATCATGCCACACTAGCAAAGTAAACAAAAAGATCTGAGAAAATTTAAGAAGAGTAAGTAAAACTAGAGTAAGTTTTACTTACTCTTCCCGATGCCAAACGATTTACAAATTATTCAATTGAATACAAACAGAAAACATCTGCATAAGGAAGAAGTTACTAAAAAATCTTATCTCGATTTTAAAGGTTCAATAAAGTATGTTGCTGGGATTTTTGAAGGTGAGATTGATAATCTTCATAGTTTTACTTAGAGTAAGTCGAGTACCGAGTAATTGGAAAAAAACCGAGCTCGAGTAATCCGAGTTTGAAAAACCCGAGTTCGAGCTCGAGCTCAATTTCTAGGCCGCGTTCGAGTAATTTTTATAAAACAGTATTCTAAAATAATTTTACCAAAAACAATACTTTTACTCATTATCAGTGATGGGTATTGGGCATTTGTTGACAGTAATGCGTATTATGATCCCGAGTTCCGAGTCGAGTAATTACGCAAAAAACCCGAGCGGTCGAGTCGAGTACTTACTCTAGTTTTACTTACTCTTCTTAAATTTTCTCAGATCTTTTTGTTTACTTTGCTAGTGTGGCATGATGTCCTTTGTCCAAGGGTGTCATAAAGGAAGGGGTAGGCCCTCCTCTGTCCAAGGGAATCATAGAGGAAGGGGTAGGCCCTCCTTTGTCCGAGGGAGTCATAAAGGAAAGGGTAGCCCTCCTTTGTCCGAGGGAGGAAAAGAGGGGGCGGCCCTCCTTTGTCCGAGGGCTTGTCTGAGATTTACAATGTCGGTGAACACAACAATAACAAAGTTATAATTTAGGCGAGGAGGTGAATTATGACATTAATTATAACAAAGTTAGAATTCAGACAAAGTAGATCAGGCTAGTATGATCCCACCGCAATTGCAAAAAACCACGGGTCCGATCTCGGGCAGTCTTGTTGTGCATACCTATTTTTCTTTAATGCGGCATGAATATTAATGATTTTAATTTTAAGATTTAATAAATGATGTAAATCTTAATTATCTTGGTCAACAAAATTATTCTTTTGGAATTGCCGATTTTCATGAAAATGCTGGCTCTTTTGCTATTTTTGAATATTTGGGGATTGAAAATACTTTTAATGTTTTTCCCTTTCTTATTCTTCCTGATTTTCTTCAATTCTTTGGAGTTAATCTTTTACAGCAAATTCGTAAAGATTTTGTTATTCCAGGTAATTTGTGGTAAAACTGAAAACGGCGCGCCCTTAAAACGGCCCACCCTCAAAATGGCCCATTGAACAAAAACCCTCAAAATGGCCCAAAATGGCCCCCCCCCCTCTTTTCCCTCTATTTAAATAGTTTTATAAAAATATTTTTCACAAATATTTTTTCTTTTTTATAGAAATGGCTCGACATACCCAATTTTCTCGCAGAGGAAAAGGACTTGGCTCTTTTTAAAGGAAGTATTTTTTTACCTATTTTTGGAATATAAAAGCATATATGTAATTATAGAAAATAAAATAATTTGTAATTCTCTTTACCTGATAAAAAAATATTTTTTAATTAGAATGTTTTTTGTTTAAGGAAATGGCTTGAATCTGGCCATAAGTTTTATTTTTTTTTGAGTCCACTCCTTAAGATTTACGACCTACCACTTTTGAAAGGGAATATCTTGGGATTTAGGAGGATAAGTGCCCAGCTCTGGATAGTTCTGTACTTTCTAACCTATGATTCAGTTTTAAGTTTGTACCAGAACCCTGGTTGAGTAGAGGGAAATTCTATCCGATTCTCCATCGATATCTCCTAAATCCCTCGACTTTTCCTTTCAAAGGTTGTATGTATTTATTTAGGTCCTCAGGGTTGACTCCATTCTTTAATATTCATTTTTGTAATTTTTTCTAACTATTTAATATAGGATTTTTGCTAGGCTTTACATAATTCCTCCTAATTGCCACCTAATTAATATTTATTAGTAAGCTTACTCTCAAGCAAAATTTTTCTCTTTTTATGGGGGTAATTAAATTTCATCATGTGGTTTTTCCATGACGTGTCAGGTTGTGTTATTCTATGCGCGTTATTCGCTAAACAATCGATTTCCCGTTCTTTTTCCTCAAATTGTTACATGTAACTTTGTACATATGTATATTTTTCAAACTTTTATTCACCTGTTTAGTATTTTTCTATAAAAAAATATTTTTAAAAAATTATTTTGAGTTTTGGTATTTTTAAACCCATTTTTCTTAGGCATTGTTTTTGGAGGCTGTACCAAAATTCAAACTTGTAGCACGAGCAAGTTTGAAATTTCCCATCGTTCCCATGTAAGCCCTCTTTTGCATATCTATCAGGGGTGGGATCACTTCCGTTTTCGCCTTCAGTATATTCCGCCGTTTTTGGCCCTTCCACGTTCCGTCTGCCGCATTATTTTGTTTCGCTTTCTTCGTCTTCCGCTTTTTAAAATGCGACGTGGCCTACCCCTGATATCTATGTATTTTTCTTGTGTTGAAATTTTCTGCCGTTGATTTTGAAATTCGGTTTCCTATCATACACTTTTCCCCTCTTTCATTTATCGTCGAACGTTTTACCTCCCTCCTCCCACATTTGTTTGTTCAAAATGTATGACTCATTCCCCCCATTGATTTAAATCCTTTTCACATTACTGCGCAAAAAACTAAACATTTATATTTTTAAACAGATAATTTTAAAAAATATTAAAAATGTCTGCCCCGCCACCTTACAATCCTCAATACAATTGTTATCCACCACAGCCACAACCTAATTATGGTCAGCCACAGCCAGGATATGCTTATGGAGGTCAATATCCAGGATATCCACAACAGCAGCCACAAGTTGTGTAAGTTTAGACTTATTTTTCTTCGAGAAAACAATGAAACAAAAGGAAGTGAATACTAGGGGTGGAAGATTCCCAGAGATAGGGCTACACGCAATTGCGGATTCTAAAAAAAATTGCGGATTGCGTTTGCGGATTTTTTAAAAAATTTGCGGATTGCGGAATCTTTTTTTGCAGTGGGATCTACCATGTATTTTTGAAGACTTGGGCAAAGATTTTCCGTTCTCCTTGTATCCGGAAATAGGGGAATTGATAGGATTTCTGGTTAACGCAACGAAAATGACCCATATTATTACCCGGGTACCCTTAAACCATTCTTAACTTTCCCTTGTCTTAGAAAATTCTTTCAAATTTCAGTGTGGTGGAAAGGAACCGGCCATCTCGTGACAACAATTGCTGTCTTTGGGCATTGTTGGCTCTTTGCTGTGGTTGTTGCATAGCTGACTGTTGCGATTAAAGAATTTGACGAGAATTCACTTTTCGAGAATCACTTTTGTTCAGCTTAAGAAATTGTCAGAGAGCCTTGCAAAAATATTTTCAATTTCATTTTTCCTTTTTTCAATTTTTCTCTTCGATTTACTGATGTAAAGGAATAAAATATTCAATTTTTAAAAGGTTTATCGAATTAATTCTTGGGACAGATCTTTACTATTTTGGGGAACATTTTTTCGATGATTGAATATTCTAAGGCTCCCAAACACCTTTGTATATTACGGATAGGGTTGGGTGCCCGGTTCGGCTTGAAAAATCGAACCGGGCCCGAAAGACTCGAACGGACCAGTTCGATGAAAATGAGAAAAAAAAATTTTTTTTTTAATTTTTAACTTTTAAACCCTAAACTTATTTCTGAATTCTTTGATTTTATTTAAATATCACTTTATTAAATAATTCATTATTCATAAACATCTTTCCGACACTAAATAAATGATTTAAAAACCTCAAAAATCCTAATCACATAAAATATTAAATTATCAGAGATTCTTTTGCTCCATAAATTCATGAATCCGTGTTCGCATAGCACGAATAAATTGAAGTTTATCACCTTTAATCCATTGTTCACTGTGATCACTAAAACAACCATTCCGACATTCCTCTACATTTAGACCTTCCTTGTGTGGACCACATTCTGATACAATAAGGAAAGTATTTCGATTGTCTCGTCTTTTGAATACCATTGATTCTCTTAAAAAATTTTTAGTTGAAAATTATGAATATTCAAGATTTGGGGGGGTTTTGAGAGAGAGAAGCTTGCAAGAAGAATCCTTTTGCCACCCAAATTAAGGTTTGCTGTTCCGGATATCCAGAAACCGCGACCCATATTTTAAAAATAGAGATAGGCTAATACACTTTAAAAATCAGATTTTGAGGATCTTAGGATCGGGTTTAGTCTCAATCCAAATTTTAATCTATTACAAAGCCTAGGTTTCATTTGTTCCCATAGCCTATGCCAAAGGGTTTTAGCCTCCCATATACAACTTGCTAATGAAAACGACCATCTTAAGCAAGAAATTCTTAATAAGTTTCTTTTCACTTCATTGTCAAAAATTTCCAAAATAAATTCCATGTACTTGTAGAACATCTTTTTCGTCAACTTCAGGCTTATACTCAACTACCAACCCTATAGTTCGGTAAACCAACCCGCTCCCCCCCCCCCCCCCCCAAATTCTATCTACACTGCGTTTCAAAAAGATGGCACACCATGTTTTTTCGACATAAGTCAACGGAAAAGTGTCCATTTCGTTTGAAATTTTTTCTGTAATTAGGTTTGATCAATATAATGCTATTAAAAAGACCCGAGCGAAAAAACCATTTTTTAAAAATTTTTTATAAAATAATTTTCAATTTTTCACTGTTTCAAAAAGATGGCACATCTTAAATTTTCGACATTAGGAGTGGTCTGAAAAATCTACAAAAATTCCTATAAACATATTTATTGATGTCGATAGAAAATACAAAAGAAACGAAGTTCTAATATGTCTCCTTCATTGAGATCTGGAAACCCAAAAATCAACGGAAAACAGGGGGTAAGCGTCTTTAAAAAATATTTTCGACCCCTTAAAGACTAAATTAAATTTTTATTTTATAATTTTCTGAAAGCCCTTTAAATTTGCTATAATACCAGCAATTTTCATTTTATAGAAAATTTTTTCCATTAAGTTGTACTTCATTAAATTTCTTATGTGCTAAGAATGGGGTAGATTTAATTATTTTCATGTTCATTGGATTTAACACTCAATATCTCACATGTAAAATTTTTCGCTTAATTGACAATAAGGGTTTCTTATACCAAATTTAAAGGGCTTTCAGAAAATTATAAAATAAAAATTTAATTTAGTCTTTAAGGGGTCGAAAATATTTTTTAAAGACGCTTACCCCCTGTTTTCCGTTGATTTTTGGGTTTCCAGATCTCAATGAAGGAGACATATTAGAACTTCGTTTCTTTTGTATTTTCTATCGACATCAATAAATATGTTTATAGGAATTTTTGTAGATTTTTCAGACCACTCCTAATGTCGAAAATTTAAGATGTGCCATCTTTTTGAAACAGTGAAAAATTGAAAATTATTTTATAAAAAATTTTTAAAAAATGGTTTTTTCGCTCGGGTCTTTTTAATAGCATTATATTGATCAAACCTAATTACAGAAAAAATTTCAAACGAAATGGACACTTTTCCGTTGACTTATGGCTAAAAAAGATGGTGTGCCATCTTTTTGAAACGCAGTGTATCTCAATTAACAAATTCTCGATAAAATAACTCTTACTCTGTACAAGACAAATCCAACAGAAATCCATCGGCTAAAATTCTCAACTCAGAAAAACAACTTGCTAACGAAAATCTCCATCCAATATTTCTCATTCCATTAATTTTCCAAGAATCACAATTTGACAGTTTTCCATTATTATTTCCTTCTTTAGAAGTTGTTGGTGTATAACAATTTTGTTGTTGAGGTATTTGTTGTTGAGGTAAAGAAGAATTATTTTCAGGATTTTGTTGAATAAATGAACTCATTATGCTTTCATAATATTGCTTTGCTTGTTCAATTGACAAAATATCGGATTGTTTAAGAGGTTTTGGTTTGTGATTATGCACACCTAAAAATTTATATTGAACAAAATTTTTAAATTTAATAAAAGGAGGAAGCTGTACCCACGGATTATGGCGCGTCTTCGCCGATTTTATAGATAATAAGAGGATCCGGATTCGAAAAAGGCCGGATATCCGGAAATTTTGGTTCGGATACTAGAATTAGGAAAAAGGAAGAAATCTAATCCCTTGGTCCGAAGATTTCCAAAGAAAAGAAATAAGGTAAAAGAAAAGAAATAAGGTAGAAATGGTCAGGAAAAAGGGGGCGGCAGCCAAAGTACTATATTACGGGTAGAGGGTCCGCTTCCACCTCCGCTTCCAAAATATTGACCAAAAAATGATCATCTTAAACAAGAATTCTTAATAAAAATTTCTTCTCACTTCATTGTCAAAAATTTGCAAAATAAAAGCGAAGGGGAACTAGTCTTTTTAAAAAACGCCCAAAGAGACGAAGAAAATTTCTAAAATATTGAGAAATCTTTAAAAGGGGAGCCATCACTTTCTCTTTATAAAATTCAGTTCCCAACAAAACAAAAATATTTTTAAAAATTAAAAAAAAAACCTTTCTCATAAACCTGTGCAGGCTGTCCATCCCATTCACGAAATATCAACATTCGATAACGACATTTCCCCTTTTCTGGCTTTCGAAAATAACACTTTAAAAAATTAAAAAAATTTTTTAATTTTCTAAAGATTTAAAAAAACCTTAAGCGTTTGCTGCCTCAAAGTAAGAAATTGTTTTCCTCTTTCCCGTAAAGGGGAAACTTTTCGTTGAACTCGAAGGATTTCAAAAGCTTCCTCATTTTGATATTCACCAATATAATTCCATTCACTTAAATTTACATTTATAAGCCTCCTTTTTAATTTAATTGAATCTAAAAAATTTTTTTTTTAATTTAAATAAAGTTAGGAAAATAAAATAAAACCTCCATTTGGGATATTTGAAGAACATGGCATTATTCCTAAATTAAATAAAAAATAAAATTTTTATTTTTTAAAGAAAAATAACGGTGTAATCCCCATTTTACCCACATTTCAGTTAGGCTATAGCCAGGCCCGTAGCCAGGATTTTTTTCGGGGAGGAGCCAAGGGGGGGAAAAATTTTTTTGGCGCCGAAACCGCTGGGCGTCCCCTGGCTACGGGGGGGGGGGGGTGCCCATAGCCCTTTAAAACTAAAAGTGAAAAGATTTTTATCCCAACCTTCAAAAAAGGTTAGATAAAAAAATTCAAAGTATTCTCCTTGTAAGAGAAATTTTCAAATCCCTCGTGGAATTTTAACAAACTTGAGGAATTAAGGAAAATTAAAAATTTGTTAGGAAAAAGAACTTTAAAAACTAATGAAAGCAGTCCCAAATAATTATTCCAACCTTAAAAAATTAAATTTTATACCTTCCATTGTAAAATTTTGCTGCAAATTTCCATTAACGGACACATTATTTGAACTAGAATTTGGATCACTAGGTGAAGAATGGAAGTGGTTATTATTTAAAGGTGCGTATAACTCAAAGAAACCAGTCTTCTAAAAATTTTAAAATTCAAAAAATATTCAAAATAAATGTAAAATTACGTAGTTATAAACTGCTTGTAATGTAAATGGACATTGAAGATTTATTTTACATCGGTAATAGACAACTTCTGAAAAAAATATTAATTTTTAACATTTTGATAGAATAAAATAAAAATTTAATAAATTCAAGGCGTACAGAAATATGTAAAATTTTTAGAAAATTTTTAAAATCAAGCAGTTAGGGTTCCGTCCAAAAAAAAATAGGAAAAGTTTGTCGGAGAAAAAATGTTAAATTATAAAATTTTTTAATTTAAAAAAAATTTTATACTAGGGTCCAATATTTTTAAATTCAAAAAAAAGTAAAGCCCGTCTTATAAAATATTTCGCAAAGTTAATTAAAAAAATTCAATGGGTACAGGAATTTGTAAAGCGAAAATGTTTTTTAAAAAATTTTAAAAACGAGGAAGGTTCCGTGTAGAAAATAAGACAAGTTTGTCAAAGAAAAAAAATTTCGAATTATAAAATTTTTTGATTAAAAAAATAAAAAATTTTTATCCCAAGGCCTTAAATCCTCAAACTCGAAAACAAAAAGTAAAGCTCTTCTTTAAAAAAACCACATTCAACTATATTTTGCAAAAAAAAACACTAAAAAAACCTGGAATTCCATTGACTACATTAAACTGTTTGTCAATCAAAAGACCTTCGGAACGTCGCAAATTCTCGAGATGATTAAAGCTTTGGCAAGCTGAAATTGTAAAAAAAAGAATTATTTAATTAATTAAAAATTTACTAAACAAACTTCTGAAAAAAGGAAATTTCTTTCTAATTTCATTGAGCTAAATTAATAAATTTAGAAAAAAAAGTATTTTTAGATAAACCGCTGGCTGATTTGTTGGTGATGTCTCTGTTGCAACTGAATTTTCAAAAATTGTGTCAGACAAGATTTGGATATCATCGTCATTATTTACAAAAGAATTTTCAGTGTTTTGCATTATATTTCGAGAAGGCGCTCTTTCTAAAAAATTAATTTTTTCAATTTTTTATTCAATTTTTGATATTAATAATTTAATTTTCCAGAAAAAGTTAAAGAAAGACCTAATATATAGTGGAAACTTAATGTCAAATAAATTAGGTATTTCAGGGTCCCATTGAAAAAAAGCGCCAATTTTGCTGTCAAGACCAAGAAAAGATTGACCAAGATTTTTTAGCTCCAGACCAACCTATTTTCACTAAATCCTACTGTGAGTAAGGACATTTTTCAGGACCACTTGATTTCTCCCTAATTTGTGTTAAAGTTGATAATTCAAAAAAATTGAAACCCTCAGCCAAAATTAATAAAAAAAATAAACATACCAATTTGCTCAACTTCATGATTGTGTACCCCACTAAAATAAATATTAAAGAGCCTATGAACGTTGTTTGGATCACAACTAGCTGCCAATAAAAGAAATTTACATTTGCCTTGGGTGGAAGAACTTCTCTCACATTCATATCTGAAATAACAGATTTTTTTTTAATTTTATAAAAAATTTCCGGTTTTCGATAAGAAATTAATCAAAAATTTAACAAAAAAGCAACAAACTTTGTCCAACAATTTTTTGAAGAATAAGATTTGAAATGGACTTGATTTGCACATTTTATAGAATTGAGATCATCTTCAGTTTCTGCTGAGGTTAAGTAAATAAATTCTGGTCCAGGCAAAGTAATTGGTTGGTTAACAATATTTCCAGGATTTACAATACTCATTTTGAAAGGTTTACATAGGCAAAAAATTTCAATTAAAAACTAAATTTAATGTAAAATTAAATGGAAATTCCTCGATTACCCGAAGGACAAAATGCCCAAAAAATTCTCAATAAAAAAATAAATTTAATTTTTAACTGGGAATTTTTAAAAATTTATTTTTGGCACTCCTCTCATTAATTTAAAATTTCCGAAAAAAAAATTTTTTTGGAATCAATCCATTAAAAAGTTTAATAGCAAAATGTAGAAAAGGAGTCATTTATTCAAAATGTAAAAGTGAGAAAAATTGAAAATAATGTATCAATTTGTACAGCAAAACAAAAATTTAAATCAAAATTTAAGGGTAACTCTGTCACTAGTTTAAATAACACAAAAAAATGTTTAAATTATTCACTTCAATATTCGAAAAAATTTTTTTTAAAAGTTAAAGATTTCTTCTCAAATCAGACGTTTCTAGGGGATGCTAAAAGTTAAAAATGAGAAAAATAAAATTAAAAAGAAGACAAAAACTCACAGCAACTTCATGGTCTTGTATCTAAAAATTAAAAAAATTTTCCAAAAAAATTCAAAGAAAACTAACAGTTTGGTATATTCCAACATAAAAATCCCTTATTGAGTCAACAGGTATACCAGTTGTTTTTTGTAATGTTATTAACACAGTGCCAACAAAGTCTTCTCCATGTACACAAATACAAGCTGCAACTATAACGCCGGAGGCTAATAAAACATAATCTGCTTCGATTCGGCCTAATCGTTTCCTAAAAATATTTTATATTGAATTATTGATTATCAAGATTTCGGGGTTATTATGGGTCCACTAGACCAGTTAAATCGAGCCATGTATACCGTAAATGCTCTGATATAAGTCCTGGGTTTATATTTTTCAATAGGTCACGTTGAGTGGGATTGTGTTCGAGATGGGCTTCTATTAGAGACTGGCAAATATTAGAGCATTTGCGATAAATCAATCCTAAACCGGACTATGAATACTAAAAAATTAAGTTTGGGTCGCTGCAAATAGAGTTGCCAAAATGGACCGACTCAGACCAAACGACCGAGTCGGGCCTAGATATTTGGCCCAAAAAAGACGCGTACAGGCCCGACTCGATAAAAACAAGCCCGAAAATGCCTCAACCATCGGCCCAACTCGAAAACGGTAACCCTAGCTGTAAACAACCTATCATCTACTTAAATTGTCCTCTAATATTAATCTCTAAAAAACTCACATAGGCACATATTGTGCATTATTTCCATGTGCAACAATTGCAACTCGTTGATAAAACTCTTCTGAATGCAGAAATATACAATCCATAATGAGTAAAGAATAATCCCACAAAGCACGAGTGTTCATTTCTAGATGACAATTGAGACGATCTTTAAAAAAGGTTTTTTTTACTGTATTTTTGCGAAAAGCTCACAAATTGTGTGAAGAAAAGTTTCAATATAAGTAACAGGCGTTTGCATAACATTCGCACACCATCCAATGGCCATCAAAACGCGTATTTCTGATTTTCGTATAGACTGTTCAGTATAAGCATAGCCTAGTAATTGAAGACAATAACGTACTCTGTCAATTGTTAGACCCTTAAATAAAAGGGAAAATTTGATTAAATAAATGAGGAAAGGACCATGCTGTAGCTGTGAAGTTTAGAGGCTATTTGAACAGAAGAAAGTATTCTCAATGCTACTTGTCTTGAAACTGTTGTAAATATTTGTTCCCATTTTTCCTCCTTTTGCGTGACTGATAAACTCTTTTGAGAATTAATTGCTTCATATAGGGAAGTTGTATGGAGAGTCATAAATCTTTAAAGGATTAGGGTAATAATTATGGGATTTAGAACGATAATGTGACAAATGACTAATTGTAAGATTCAGGAACGAGGGAAACCATACTTACTATTAATGAAGGCTTGAGGAACCTTACCTGAGTCACAAGTAGAGTGCGGCACGGGAGGGATCCCGGGCAGGATTTTACGGGACCCCGTCCGAAAATCCCGGGTTTTTAGCGACAAGCGGGATTACCGAAACTAACAGGATTAATCCCGCGGGATCCCTCCCGTTCGATTTTTTGAAACTCAATTCCGTTACGGGATCCCGAAAATGCGATTTTGCCGCACTCTAGTCACAAGTCTGTATTTTCACCTAATAAACATAAAATCAATCCATTCATGTCTTAGCTTAAAAAAATAATTTAAAACTCAACTCACTTGTTATAAATTTCCAAGGCAATATATTTAACATCCGGTGGAAGTTGTAACCGCAAACAAACAGTAAACAGATACTCCACACTTTTGGGATTCACAAAACATTTAAACGTATCATCAACGTTTTCAACCCGTTCACGGTTTTCAGCCAAAAGAAGGGATATCCAATCGGAAATAAGGTCTCGATGAAGACATGCAGTTCGCTCTTTGAAGTCGGGAAAGAGATTTTTGTAAACTGGGCGCCCCTAAATTTTAGTTAAAAATTAGTAAAATATACAAAAATATTTACTAATTTTTCTCGGTTATTAAGTGGTTCAACGTTTACTGATGAAATTTCTAGTTCATTTAAATCATCACTGAAACCATTTTGCATTGTTTTAGAATTCGCCTGGTAAAAAAAGGGAAATTTATGCTGAGAATAGAAACATAAAGAAGTGTATTATTAAATCTAGTGACCGGAACCGGACCAGATCCGACCGGATTTTTCCGGGGCCCGGGTCCCAAATCCGGATTTTTTTATATTTCCGGACTAAAACCGAACAGGATTAATCCGGAAAAATCCGGCCGGATCCGGTCGGTTCAAGTTAAGAATCCGGACCGGATCCGGCAAGATCGATTTTGCCGGTCACGAATTGAAAAATTTACTAGGAATAAACTAAAATCATCAAAAAGAAGACGTGAGAAAGAAAATCCTCCTTAATCCTGCAAAAAGAAATATAAATTTGGACAAAATTTCGAATAAAAACATTATGCCAAACATTAATAGTTATGCCAAACCTCATTTTTTCAAAGCGTTGGTTTCGCTTGCTGACCGTATACGCACTGTATTTATTTACAGGCAAAAATTTGTTCAAAATTTGGGTATAAAAACACAAACTTAAAAAGGGTCATGCCACTTGTATCAATTCTCGACGGTGGACGGCGATCGCCAATTTATTTAACGCCTTGTTTAGCACTTCCGTCGCTCTAATTCTCAGCATTCTGCCACTGAGTGCCTCAATGAGCTTCAACCCAATTTGGGACTTCAACGGAACTTTTGGCGAGTATGGCTTCTTCCAATCAACATCGACAGGAAGCGACGCTCCGCAGTTTTCTGGTTCCGGTTGGTCTCCGTTTGGTGGAAGGTGAGACTTTGAATATTTCTGCCGTTATTCATAAAAATATTTTCAGTTCATCTACAAGAGCCATGGATTTCAGCAGTATGAATAAGCCAGAAGAAGAAATGAGTGATGGCATTCGTGCATTGGTTAGTACGGGTTTTAAAGAGGCCTGTGATAAATTATAATTTAAGTTGGAAATCACCAGAAATTTCAAGAACCAAAGCAAATTTGAAGACATTTCATTCACAAAGGCTCAAGAATCGCCATCAAAAGCTATTGTCTCGAGTCCAGCTGTCCGTTGTTCACCATCTCCGCAACAGGCACAGCTTCGGATCACAAATTTGCCTCACCATCGACCAACTGGAGGTGCGGGGACGAATAACTATGCAATGGCTGTTAAGCGGACTCTTGATCCAAAGAAGGAACATGCCAACAATGCTGCACCGCCCGCATCTTCTGCCGCTCCTTTGATGTCACAGATTGGAACATTCAACCGAGGGACCAATATTCAAACGGAGCAGTCGCAAATTTTGTCTCCACGTAGTAAATGGTTTGATAGGAACATTCGCAGCCCAGTTAATGCTAAAGAGATTGAAGGAGGGCCGAAGATTAATGGACGGTGAGTAATTTTGGCATTTTTAATGTTGAATCAATTTTCAGATCAATTGTCAATGGGATAAATTTGAACAGCCTGAAATTCGTCAAGCCAGCAAGGCAATGTCCGAGGTGGGACAAGCCAAAGCATCGAATTGATGAGCCAAATTGTCCTCTTTGGCATCCACGCGAACGTTGCCAGTAAGTTTTTTGGGGCCTTTGAAGGGGTGGCTCTACCATGAACGGACATTCGTTGCTTGTCAGTCCGTTCGTTGTGAAGAGCCATCCTTTCCTTAGTATTTCATCAAAAAATCTTCAATCATTTCTTGTTCTAGATACTATCCTCGTTGCCGTTTGACTGCTGAAGTCTGCGGGTTTGGTCATCCATTTTGTGGGGACTTTTGTGACTGCGCACCAGAAAAGCGTTCTCTGCAGCTGAATCACATGCCAAGAAAGGAAGGTAACAACAACGAAAAAACTACGCGACCGAATCCATAAAAATAATGATGTAGATAATGCTGAAAAGTACAAAAATATAAATTTGTACTTCTAAAAAATTATTTAGGCAAAACAAATTAAATATTTAATAAATTCTAATAGGAGACCTATATTTATTTGTCTTTCCTCTTATCCCCTCTAACAATTGTAAATATTTTTCCCATTTTTCCCAGTTGGTGGGATGTTTATATATTTGTATTTATATATGTGTATATACAAAAAAAGGATTTAAATGTTCTAAAAATATTTTTAAAAATTTTTTTTCTTTCTAAAAATATTTTTTTGAGAGACATTATTCCCCTTCTTTCCATCTCTAGGGACAGAATTGGCCGTGATTTCCTTTTTTACTTGCATGTATTTCCTCTCAATTATTATTTGCTATATCCGGCTCTAAGAAAAGTTTTGTGTTGTCTATGTAAAAGAAAAATATCCCAATTTAACAAAAAAATAATCTATTAAAAGGACGACCTTTGGTTCACCGAATTATTTTTAAAATTTGTTTTTAATATTGAATTTTATAGAAAATTTTTTTTCATTGATTATAGAGTGAATTTATTTGGAAAAAATTATAAGAAAACATCCTAAACCTGGCTTATAAAATTATCGAAAAAATTATCTAGTTGTTGGGTTGATCCTCATTCTATATATACCAACAAATATCAGATACTCAGGTTGAGGTAATTTTTTAAATTAGGCTGACTATTGACCATTTAAATTAAAGTGCTCCTCATTACGAGGTACTATTCTTCAAATATCATTGACATCTAAAAATAGGGGTTTTTTCCAAAAGTCCTATTTTTTCAAAAAAATTTTCATTGTCCCGAGTTTGACTATAATTTTAGAATTATTTTGACAAATTTTACGAATTTTTGATTATTTTATTAAATTTTCAAAAAGATTTGGTAATCTTTAAGATCATTGGTCCCTAGAAAAAAAATTATCAAAAATACTCCTTCGATATTTCTAAGGCTTTCCAGTAGGTAATCGAATGTGCTGAGTCCGAATCTGAACTTAGAATTTGTTTATTTCGAATCCCGGACCCGAATTCGACCAGGTCGAATTCGGGGGGAAAAATTTGAAATTGAAATTTTATGGTTATTCTGACTTTTGTCTTCGAGCCGAGTCAAATGGATTAAAATTATTAAGTTTCGACAATTTTAAACAAAGTTATGATCAATTAAATACACGACTGTATAGATTTCGCATGCAGATTAGGCATCATAACTTCATTTAAACTTGTCGAAATACGATAATTTCGATACCAATCGACTCAGCTAGAAGAGCTGAGTACGATAAGCCCTAAAAATCAAAAATGAATTTTATTCCTAATTCGACTTGGTCGAATTCGGGTCCGGGATTCGAAATAAGCAAATTCTAAGTTCAGATTCGGACTCAGCACACTCGATTACCTACTGGAAAGCCTTAGAAATATCGAAGGAGTATTTTTTAATATTTTTTTCTAGGGACCAATGATCTTAAGGATTACCAAAGATTTTCCCAAAATTTTTTTACTAATTTTTGCATGTTCCATTTTTTGTCTCTAAGGAATTTAATTTTTTGAAGAATTTCCAAAAAATGTTCAAAAATTTATAAATTTAATTTCCAAAATTTTTTTTATCAAATCTTACATAAATATTTTTATAAAAATATTTTTTTTTCTGTTCATTTTTAAAGAAAATGCAAATGTTTTTAATATTAAAATGTTTTCGTTAATGTTTCTTTTATTTATTTGTTCAAAATCTGTAAATTTACAACAACATCAAACACAATTAAATTCAAAATGTTTAGATAAATTTGACATTGGGTTGACAAGGCAATGTATGAGAGGTGAAAATAAGTCTGAAAATCCAAAAATATTAAACTTATAAAATTTTTAAGAAAATTTGAAATCTGTAAAATATGCCCAAATTTGACTTTTTCGTCCATAACTCTTGAAATACCTAACCGAAAAAATCTAAAATTCTAGATTTTTATAGATAAACCCATAAAAGATATAATCACAAAATTTCACTTTTCGAAGGTTCTTTTTGTTTATTTTATAAAATTTTCCGATAGAGATTGAAAAATACTTCCCCACTTCCCCGAAACAGGGTCACTTGTTAAAATATAGAGTCCTGGTTTACAACGTGATCAGAATATTATGCACTTAAGTAGTTAACTATGCCCCAATCGCTCCACATACCCAAATCGCTCACCTACCCTTTTAGCTCTTCTACCCAAATCGCTCACCCCATTTGTTCACCTGTCAAATCAAACCCGAGCCTATAGGGGGTATTTTCTTTTGATTTTGCCGACAATCCTAAGGGATTAAAGGTGTTTAAGCCCATTAATCATTCTTCAGGTGATTAATTACCATTAGTTTGTTTTGTTTCAACCCAAATCGCTCACCTCCAAATTTTACCGTTTTGATGCCTTTCTTATTTTTTATTATGCCGCCGATCTACACCTACTGAAGAGGTACATCTGAAATTAATAAAGGAGGGTAATTAATCATATTTAAAATGATTAATTACCTTTTGAAGGTAATAGTGGTGATAGCATGTCAATCAGAACCTTCAAGTAAATAGAAAACATCTGGAGAACATCTGGGATAAGTACTAATAGAGAAGTTAAAAGCGAAATAGTGCGCTATGCTGGACTCTAGAGTAAAATTTACTTGTTAGAGAACATCTGGGATAAGTACTAATAGAGAAGTTTAAAAGCGAAATAGTGTGTTATGTTGGACTGAAGTCTCAGTCCATTTTTTCAAAGTTTGTCCAAAATGACCGGAAATACAAATGCAAGAAGGGTTTAACTCATTATTTCGAAATACCACTTTCAAAATGTCAAGCGACAAAATTCCAACTTTCAAAATGTCAAGCGACAAAATGCCAACTTTCAAAATGTCAAGCGGCAAAATGCCAACTTTCAAAATGTCAAGCGACAAAATGCCAACTTTCAAAATGTCAAGCGACAAAATGCCAACTTTCAAAATGTCAAGCGACAAAATGCCAACTTTCAAAATGTCAAGCGGCAAAATGCCAACTTTCAAAATGTCAAGCGACAAAATGCCAACTTTCAAAATGTCAAGCGGCAAAATGCCAACTTTCAAAATGTCAAGCGGCAAAATGCCAACTTTCAAAATGTAAAGTGACAAAATGTCAAAACATGTTAGGCATGCGTATGGGGTGCATGTGTGCGGCAATTCTAATGTGCGTACGCACACACTATCTTGGTTAAAGTTAAGAATGACAAGATAAATTTGCTGTAATTTTAGGAACAAATATAAAATTCATTAAAAGTTAAGAACAAGAAGATGCAATTAATGCAATGTTAATGTATAAAGGTACAATTATTACAAAGTTAACTAATGGAAGATGCAGGTTTTGGGGGTAAAAATGCAAAGTTAAGCATTAGGAGATAAAATTAATGCAATGTTAAGCATTAAAAGATACAATTGATGCAAAGTTAAGGGAATATGTCATATGTTAAGTAAAAATAGACAAAAATGGCAGAGTGAGGTTGTTAGTATGTGAGAATTACTCGCCTGAAAAGGTATTTTGTACCTCATCTGAAAATTAAAATTCATTCATAATAAAAAATCATTTTACATAAACATTCATTACTTAGTATTGAAAAATAAAATATCGCTATTTAAATTAAAAATTTCTTAAAAACTAGACGTTTGAATAAATCTTTAATACCTTCTTTATTACACCAAATATTTTAAAAATGTTTATGTTTTCAATAATATTAATATCTATTCTGTCCTTAATGGTATACAGTTCGGACGATAAACCCAGGAAGAGAGAATTAGTGACAACATTATATCGGATAACACCACTACCAATCTGGCGGAGAACACCGCCACCAATATTTCCTAACATAGATAAAAATAATTCAGTAGAAATACCAATATGGCGGAGAACACCGCCACCAATATTTCCAAACAGAGATAAAAATAATTCAGTGGAAATACCAATATGGCGTAGAACACCACTACCAATATTTTCTAACAGAGATATAAATAAATCAGGGGAATTCAGACGAGACGGTAAATTAAACAATAGTTCATTGAATAACACTGATGGAAGGGAAACATTATTTATGAAATGGGTTGTAAAGGACATCTACCATCTGAAGAAGAGCGATATAGCAAGAAAAGTTGAAATAAAAAATATGGGGCGTTGGATTCTACGTTGGGACCTATGGGACAACAAGTTCAAATTTGGTAAACATAATAGAACAGATTATATAATGTATTCAAGATGGAGATTTTTATATGAACCTCCCATTTCAAATATTATAGATTTTTTCAAAAATTTGTAAATCATTTTAAAAATAATTTCTTATTTTTGATATTAATAATCATTTTTTATGTAAATTTATAAATTGTTTAATATTTAATAAAATTTTAAATTAATTAATCAAAATATCGCGTTTTTCCCATTGATTGGGTTTACCTTCTATTTCAATCCACAATATCCCTGGTCTAGATTTCCCATTAGTTGGTGTAGGTGGTTGGTCTTCTATGGATATTGGAATACTATCTAGACTAGTCGTTGATGTAGACGAAGTAGCATGTGTTTGCCGTGCTGTAAATGTTAAACCGCTTATTGTTGATGGGGATGACGGAGGTGATGTAGGAGCAAAACATACGAGCTCAAGCGGGAAGTATCTTTCGCAAATTCCATTTTTTGTACAAGTTCTTACTATAACACATTGATGAAACGGATATTGGAGTTTTATTTTGTGATGTGCAAAGAAGTATGCCGCAACCGATATATTAAATGGATAACTTACATCGCCAAATGCTTTGATTAAATGAGCTCCTGATGTTGTAATTCCATCACATCTAATTGTATATTTCAATCCATTTCTATCTGAATAAGTTGTCTCTATTTTTCCTTTTTCATTTATGAATTTTGAGATCATATCGGCATTTTCTTGACACATTAGTCTATATCTCACAAGATAATTTGGGCAGTTCAATTTTTTCGAAATATCATTCAAAATCGAATTCATTTTTATCGATTAATTTAGAATATTTACTTAAATGATCAAATGTCTTTTAAACAAATAAGTTTATAGAAGATTTTGCCTTTTTATATGAAAATTTAGGCAACTATTACGAAATCTCGGACAGGGCGGGGTTTGTTTAATATAAAGGCAATATATTACCCACTCGTATTTGTTTCTTCACTTATTTATTGAAAGTTAAATTTGAAATAAGAAATAAAAAATGAGCGGATTGGAAAATGAAAAAATCCCAAAAATTGAATTAATCAATGATCGAAAAAATGAAAAGGAAGAGATTATTGAAATAGAGATAGAAAAGGATACGGAAACAACAAATAATGCAAAATCTCCTACATTTAAAATAAGCAATGGAAAAATTGAGAAGAAACATGGAATAAATCCGCGTATACTGTGGAAAATAATGCGCATGAAATATACCCCAAAGATTGAAATAAATATTTGCAAAAAATGTGCAAATACGCTTTATTATGATAAAAATAAATTTACTCTAAAGGAGAATGGAAATATTGGAATTTGTTTTGAAATTTGTGAAGGCTGCGCGAAATTAAATATACAGCTCAAAGATTTTGTTTCGGATTAAAATGAAAAAATACCTACTTTAAAATGTAATTAAAATTTTCAAAAAAGTATTTTTAACATAAAACTGTTACTTTAATATGAATTTCAATAATTGTAAGAATTTAATATGAAATAAAAATTTTGAATTTCCCTTATTATTAGTTAACAAAGTAATTTTCAATTCATAATTTTAAATTCCCTTTTTCGGAAGCCACGCCCATTTCAGAGTATAAATATCAAAACATTCCCCATTATCAAACATCCATTCAAATCAGAATTCATTTATAAAAATTATTAAAATATGTCAGTAATTGAGAATAACTGCCAACTCTTGGAAAAAGTTATCCCTGAGGTTTTATTTACGGTGTCTTCGTCTGGGGTGACAATTTCTTCACCACGGCTCATGACAGCACGTTTTGTGGAGTTTGACTTGGCAGGGAAATGTAAAAGTTGTAAAGGGGAAAATGTGGACATTGATTTTATTGTTACTCCAAAGGATGTAACCTTATATTGCAATCGCCTAAAATCAGAAAAAGTTGTAATGTTTGACCATATCTACGAAATTCCACAACAATGTATTTTTCGCGTTAAATCAAGAGGGAAGAATTTCAATATTATTCACAAGGAGCCATACTGGAACGAAAAAGATTTTATCAAAGGAGGTGGGCAAATGAATATCAAGGAATTTTTATCGAAGTTTTCACACAAGAAAACAAAGTTAGAGATAGAAGAAGCACAAGAAAAGAAAAATGATAAAGAAAATATATTAGAAGAAAAATATAATTCAATTTCAACTCATAATCATTAATCATTTTTTATTTTTTTTTTATTTTCAATACATTTTCAAACATGAACTATCAGATATTTTCAAATAAAGATTTAAAATTAAAACTTCCATTCGGTTGTATTATTAGCGGCCCAAGTTCAACTGGGAAGAGTACATTTATCCGGAAATTAATTTCCAATTATGATCAACTTATTGAACCTATTCCAAAATCCATTCTTTACTGCTATGGGGAATATAATTCTCTTGTTCCCGAACTACAGCGAGCCGGAGTCTCAGTTTATTCTGGAGTTCCCCCTGAGGATCTTATTAAGAAGCAAGAACAACCTTCACTAGTCATTCTTGACGACCTAATGTACTCAATTGACGAAAAATATTTATCCGAACTTTTTACAAAGAAATCTCATCATCTTAATTTCGGTATAATATTCATCACTCAAAATCTCTTCGAGAAAAAACTTAGGGTCGCACGACAAAATTCTATGTATATTGTATTAACTCGCGCACCAAATAGTGCATTGGCCGTTCGAAATCTTGGAGTACAATTATTCCCAAAAAGATTAAATTATTTTCTAGACGCATATCGACAAGCTACAAGCAGCAGTAATTATTCATATCTTTTTATTGATTTACACCCCTCATCAGACCCAACACTTAGACTAAGGGCAAATATATTTAAAGACAAAGAAACAGAAGACAATTATTATTCATTACCTATTATATTTTTACCCAAAAATTCTTCAAATTAAATCATGCCAACGAATATTGGTCAAATTGTTAAAGACAATTTGCAATTTCTCAAACAACTCGCAAAAACACACTCACTAACTAAAAGAAGAAAACTTTTAAAAAAAGCTTCAACAGATCAGTTACTCTCCCTCACTGAAATTTGTTTTAATATAGTACGCGATCAATTTAAACTAAATAAAAGGCAAAAATCTCGTCTTCTACCATTCGCTGATTTTGTTCGCCGTGTGAGTAGATTAAAAACAGAAAGAGGAGCCCGACGTACAGTAATACAACAAGGAAGCGGTTTACCAATTGGTTTATTTCCTGCCCTCCTAACCCCAATTATTATTGAATTGACAAAGACGTTGACAAACAATTTATAAAAATGGCAAATAAATTTTTATTAATTCCTGAGGATATATATCGTGGATTACTTACCCAGCCTACACCAGAAACTGGAAATATCAATTTGGATTTTACTCGAAAAAATTTGGAAACTATTAAAAGACAAAATGCCAACACAGAATTAAAAAATATAAATTATAATCAGGAATTGAGACGGTATTTACACATGTTGAAGGAACAAAATGATAGACCAATGAATGTTTCAATAGGACAAATGCAAGATCCAGCCTTGGAGCAAATTAAAAAATTACTTCCCCTACTGCAAACAAGCTCCAATGAAAACCGTACAGTAACCGAAAGCCCCCAAAAGGCTTTTAAGCAAAATATTACCGCATCAAAATTGTCCCCGATAGATGAAAATACTGAAGATGACCTTAGTATGCACACGGCAGAGGAGGAATCTCCCGATTACAATGAAAAGAGTGAGCCAAAAAGCACAACAATAAAAGAAAAAACAAAGGAAATTTTTGAAAATATGAAACAGGAAAATCTAGATAAATATGATGTGAGCACTGATGGAAAGATTTTAAGTAAGAAGGGAGGAAAAGAAATACAGGGAAGCAATGCACAAAAATCTCTAGAGTGCATTCTCCGTACAGGAATCAGTGGGAAATTGAGATGGGGAGAATTGACACCACCGGGAACATCAGTTTTAGAAAGTAAATTAAAAAGTGATAATAAAATTTGGCCGTTGATAGAGAAGGCTAGGGAGCATTGTACTCCAAAAAGAACTAATACAAAGCAAAAAAGAAAAATACCTGAATCCAAGGAAATAGCTGAATCAAAATGGAGACTTCCCGCAGAGTGGAAATGATTTTAGATAAGCTTTACAATGATCCATCAAATCCAGCAGGATTTGCTGGTGTAAACCAACTATGGACAGAGTCTAGAAAAATAGATGCAAGTATTAAAAAGAAGGATGTTGAGGAATATTTACAAGGTCATAGAACATATTCAATTCACCGTCCTAGACGCGTACACTTTAAAAGATCAATAACATATCCGTCTGGATATATGACAGATGTTCAGTGCGACTTGGCGGATTTTCAAAAGTTATCACGGCAAAATAATGGAAAGAAATATGCACTTGTTGCAATAGATGTTTTAAGTAAAAGAGTTTTCGCTGAACCTGTTCGCACTAAAAAATCGAATGATATGATTGATGCTTTTGAAAAAATTTTGGCAAGAATGGAAATGCACCCCCACCGTATTTTTAGTGATAAAGGAACAGAATTTTGCAGCAAAGAAATTATGGACTTTTTTAGAAAAAAAGATATTGAAAAATACACAGCAACTTTCTCAGAAGTCAAAGCATCTCTAGCTGAAAGATGTATTCGGAACATTAAACAGAGATTGTACAGGTTTATGAGTGAGAAGCATACATTAAAATGGGCAGAAGCATTACCGAAAATAGTTGACGCAATAAATCATTCAAAGTGTAGGGTTTTAGGAGGATTAAGACCGGTTGATGTAAGCTTTAACAATGCAAAAGAAATCAGAGAAATGGTATTTGGTTCTATTAGCAAAAATAAACCTCGAAAAAATCCAAGATTCAAGGAAAATGAACATGTGCGTATGAGCAGAAGTAAAAATATATTTTCAAAAGGTTATCTCCCAAATTATAGTGATGAAATTCTCCAAATAGATCTTGTTAAAAATAAGGCTAATCCAAATAGATACCGCGTCCGTGACGATAATGGAGAATTATTCAAAGGATATTTCTACCCTGAGGAACTGACAAAAGTAAGAAAAGATGAGAATACTAGTTACAGAATTGAGAAGATTATTAAGAGCAGAATGAAAAAAGATGGAGGAAAAGAATATCTTGTAAAATTTTTTGATTATCCCCAACCCCATTGGATAGATGAAAATCAATTTGTATAAAAGGCCAATTTATCATTCCCCATAAATCATTTTTACATTTTTTAATTTAATTTTCATTTTATTGTTCATAATTATTATTAAAATAAATAATGGCTAATACATTCTTTGTTGTTCTTCCTAGTAATGTTAGTGATTACCCAGATAATAAACCCAATAAATACAGAGTGCATCTCCCTAAGCCAATAGAATTTCAAGGTGGAAACTGGGTATGTGGGCTCTACAGTATCCAATACCCCCAGTCATGGGCTGCAACCATTGGCACCGATGTTAAACAATGGATCGAAATTAATTACAAAAGCAAAAAACCGATTAGAACAGGAATTCCCAAAACAACACAGTTAACACCCAACGGACTCAGCTTCTTTTTAAAACTTGTATTATCCAATAAGGAAAAGTCTAGGAAAAGACGTGATGTATCAATCGATACTTTAGAGGATGAAATTATTATTGGGCCAGAAATTAATTTAATTGAAGATCCAATTAGGAAACGAAGAAAGAGAGAGGCAGATAGAGATACCGTACCATTATGGGTAAAGGAATTTTTTACTACATATCCACACAATTATTGGGAAGCCATACGAGATTATGAACAGGAATTAGAACAACATAAAGTCAAAGTAGAGGAAAAAACAAAACAAGTTATTAATGAAGAGGATGATATACAGAAGGAAGAATTTCAGCAAGAACTTGAACACCTACATTCCCTTTCAGAAGGCAAAAAGAAGGAAATTCGTCTTTTAACTGACGAAGCTAATAAGCGAGATAGGCTTGATGATCGACTTATAGCAAATCAGTTTCTAGAACAGCACCCAGATGATTATCACGAGCAAGTAATAAAAATGGAAATAAATATAATAGTAAGATACATTGAACTAGAAGATAAAATTAAAGCGAGCAGAGAAGAGATTGGTAAAAATGTTCGCTCTGGTGAAGAAATTCAAAGGTTTATTAATTCGATAAAACGTATGCGAAAAAACTTGGAAGCACTCGAATCTGCAATAATTGAAAGAGAGTTGAAAATTACTAGAGATGAGTTTAATCAGCAAAA